GGATGGACTGAAGACAGTGACCAAGCCATTTGTCTCGTGCCATCCTTCTCCAGCCTTCCACAAACCTTGGTCAGGGACACCACTCCTACCCCCTGGCTAATAGCACTCCATGGACCCCACCTCCATGACTTTATCTCATTTCTCTTTAAACTCTGTTCTAGTTGTAGCCTTCACAGCCTCCTGCAGCAAGGAGTTCCACAGGTTGACTCTTTGCTTTGTGAAGAACAACTTTCTGTTACTAGTTTGAAGCCTGCTACCCATTCCTTTCCTTTGGTGTCCTCTAGTCCTTCTTTATGGGAACTAATGAAGAACTTTTCTGTATGCACCGTCTCTACCCAACTCCTGCTTTTAGAGACTTCTATCCTGTCCCCCCTCCGTCTCCTCTTTTCTAAGCTGAGAAGTCCCAGTCTCTTTAGCCTCTCTTCATATGGGACCTGTTCCCAACCCCTGATCATTTTAGTTGCCCTCCCCTCTCCCAGCCTCTCTCTTCCCCTCTCCCACCTCCTTTTCCCAGTCTCCCCCAGTTTTGTTCAATAAAGACAGATTCCATTTTTGAACACAATTGTCCTTTATTTTGTACATCAAGAAAAGGGGCTAGGGAAGGGTAAGTGGAAGGAGGTGAGGGAGGAATGGGGTACGAGCCCCCGATGGGGAGGAGTGGGCTGGCTCTGCGGGCTTCTGGGGGTGGAAACTCTCCTGCAGCCCCCCAATTGCCCCCTCTCCCCAGATGGCAGCCTGCGGCAAGTGCAGCCGGGCTGATGGCCGAGTGGTGTGATGTGCCCAGTGTGGGCACTCCGGGCACTCCAAGCCAGGACTGGTTTTCAAGCGTTGCACCCCTGAGAACTGTCTGTCCGGGGTGGGGGTCGGGACCCTTTAAGCACAGCCCTCGGCTAGCCTGAGACAGCATCTCCACGCTCTAAGTCCTCCTCTGATGCCCTGCTGGCACTGCTTCCGGCCATCCTTAAGCCCTGTTCAGGGTCCACTTAATGTGGACATGCTAGTTCGAATTAGCAAAATGCTAATTCGAACTAGTTTTTAGTTCTAGACGCGTTAGTTCGAATTAGCTTAGTCTACACTATGTCTGTAGTGTAGACATACCCAGGGTGATTAAACACTGGAATAAATTGCTTAGGGAGGTTGTGGAATCTCCATCACAGGAGATATTTAAGAGCAGGTTGGATAGACATCTATCAGGGATGATTTAGATGGAGCTTGGTCCTGGCGTGAGGGCAGGGGACTGAACTTGATGATCTCTCGAAGTCCCTTCCATTTCTAGTATTCTATAATTCTATGATTATTTTTATGATCATCATCAGCATGGAAGCATGAAAAGGCAAATGAAGGTTTAGCATACATGGCATGTAAATACCTTGCAATGCTGGCTACAAAACTGCTATGTGAACTTTTGTTCTTACTTTCAGGTGACCACTGTAAATCAGAAGTGGGCAGCATTATCTCCCATATATATAAACAAACTTGTTTCTCTAAGGCTATGTCTACGCTGCAATGATATTTTGGGATACAGGAATATCCCAAAATAGCTATCCCGCATCTTCACAACAAGCCCATTATTTTGGGCTCACTATTCTGATGTCCCTGTAAACCTCATTCTACGAGGAGTAAGGGATGTTTCAGAATAGCGCTTTATTTTGAAATTTGGAGCTGTGTAGACAGTGCCAAATGACTAAACTATTTTGAAATAGCACCAAAATAAGATACACAATTTGCGTAGCTCAAACTGAGTATCTTATTTCGAGTTATGGTGCAAACACACCCTATGTGATTGGCTGAACAAGAAGTAGGACTGAGTGGACTTGTGGGCTCTAGATTTTTACATGGTTTTGTTTTTAGTGCTGTTATGTAACAAAACAAATCTACATTTGTAAATTGCACTTTCACAATAAAGAGATTGCATGACAGTGTTTGTATGAGGTGAATTGAAAAATAATAGTTATTTTGTTTATCTTTTTAGAGAGCAAATATTTGTAATAATATAAAGTGGGCACTATACCCTTCTATTCTTGTTGTAACTGAAAGTAATATATTTGAAAATGCAGAAAAATATACAAAATGTTCTACTCTACTTTTTCTTAACAATGCAATTAAAAGTTTGATTAAATTTAATTAATATTTTGAGTTAATCACTTGAGTTCATCACAATTAATCGATAGCCATACCACAAATTAAAATTTCCTAATATAAAACAAATAAACCAACATAGTTCTGAAAACTGAAGTCAGTGAGACATGAAGTACTACTTTTCCTGCATTCCAGTGTCAATTATAAAGATACCTGCTTAGCATTATCGTTAACTGTGACTGAAGGAAATGGGCTTTCAGTTAATTTACAGACAATAATAAAATGTATTAGTGGTTGGTGCTTATTCCAGGTGTACAGAAGTCGTATGCATAATGAACTCCTGCTGACTGAAGCATTGATGTATATGTTTGCTGCATATGGGTTACTTGAAGGGAAAGTGTCAGATAATCATTCTCAATTTGTTTCTGAGGAATTCAGTAACAAATGCTAAATCAGCTATTTCAAACCAGGAACAAACCTGCAGTGTCAGCATTCAGTGGGTTAGCAGAATTCTTTCTACAGACACTTAAGTGGACACTAAAAACAAGTGAAGTCAAACTCATGCATACTATATTGGAAATGGTGTTATATGAGACTACGCCACTCCATAAAAGACTTAGTTACAGAGCAAGAGACTCAACACATACAAGCAGTAAGCTGTAGCACTGTAAATCACAGTTTCCATGTTTACATTAGGGAGTTTCCCCAGCACCATCACATCAAAGTAGCTATACTAGTGGCTGAAAGCCAATGTATGGGAAATCCAAGTATTCAATGTAAAATTAAGTTGAAAGCTGTCTTAACTCTTCCCTTAAGGGGACCAACAGCCACAGCAGGCCCCTGGGCAAGGTGGGAGGGGCCTGCTCTGCCCTCTTGAAAGGGGAGGTGCCTTGGGCAGAAGGGGCGGGACTGGGAGAACTAGCCCTCAGCACTGCCCTGAGTGTGCCACACTGGCTCTTCCCCTCCAGTCCTTAGAGCCACCCAGAGTGCACGGCGCGGCACACCAGCAATGATTTAAAGGCAGCAGCAGAAGTCCCAGGCCATTTAGAATTTCTAGGCCCTGGGGCAACTGCCCCCTTCGCCCGCCCCTGTCAGTGGGCCTCCTCCCTTCTTCTGCTTACACCTTAAAATACAGTCTACCATTTATCATTATAAATCATTTGCTAGTTATTATCATGCAAAATTGAATTTCTTATACATACCTAAATACAAGTTGCAATGCTGATGGGAACGGAGTCTTATTTATACTACTGTAAACCTAGAGTGATGCAACTCCATTGACTTCAACAGAGTGACCGAGGATTTATAGCAGTGCAATTGATATCAGAAATTTGCCCACAGCCTTCTGAGTTGTCTTGGTTCTTAAGTCTCCACAAGATCCACAAAATAAACCGAAGAGGAAGAAAAAACATTTTATTTGTTTAAGTTAGGGATTTAAGTTACAATTTTTTAAAGTTATGGCCGTTTAAAGTGAGTTAATTGAAACTTTTTCTCTAGGGTCAACTAGCCAACCAGACTGTATCCTTGAATTACCAGTGATCTATAGCAGACTTTAATGGGATTTTTGCTAATGGGGCAGCTGTCTTTGTAAACGGGGGCTAAGCAAACTGGATGTAAGGTTCATTTCTGAAACTGTCATTGGATTCCAAGCTAACTGCAATCTACTTTAATCCAATGCTTTGGACACGTACCCCATTGAGAGGAGATCATATTTTTATGGTTGTGCAGAATGAAAGAAAGATATGTTTTGCTGCAATGAGGGTTAGTGTGCTGATGACGTATGAGGAGAAGGGACAAGAAAATGATGGGAACTGGGAGTATGTTAGCAGACTACAGGCAGTCCCCGACTTACGCGGATCCGACTTACGTCGGATCCGCAGATACGAACGGGGCTGCCCCAGAGTACACGGACTGCGGGACCTCGTGGTCCTGCCGCCCATGTACTCTGGGGCTTTCTCTGCGTCTCCCTGGTCTGCAGACCAGGAAGACACGGGCGGCGGACCGAGACGCACCGAGGTCCCACCGCCTGGGTCCTCCGCGGCTTTGCTCTGCGTCTTCCTGGTCTGCAGACCAGGAAGACACGGGCGGCGGACCGAGACGCACCGAGGTCCCACCGCCTGGGTCCTCCGCGGCTTTGCTCTGCGTCTTCCTGGTCTGCAGACCAGGAAGACACGGGCGGCGGACCGAGACGCACCGAGGTCCCACCGCCTGGGTCCTCCGCGGCTTTGCTCTGCGTCTTCCTGGTCTGCAGACCAGGAAGACACGGGCGGCGGACCGAGACGCACCGAGGTCCCACCGCCTGGGTCCTCCGCGGCTTTGCTCTGCGTCTTCCTGGTCTGCAGACCAGGAAGACACGGGCGGCGGACCGAGACGCACCGAGGTCCCACCGCCTGGGTCCTCCGCGGCTTTGCTCTGCGTCTTCCTGGTCTGCAGACCAGGAAGACACGGGCGGCGGACCGAGACGCACCGAGGTCCCACCGCCTGGGTCCTCCGCGGCTTTGCTCTGCGTCTTCCTGGTCTGCAGACCAGGAAGACACGGGCGGCGGACCGAGACGCACCGAGGTCCCACCGCCTGGGTCCTCCGCGGCTTTGCTCTGCGTCTTCCTGGTCTGCAGACCAGGAAGACACGGGCGGCGGACCGAGACGCACCGAGGTCCCACCGCCTGGGTCCTCCGCGGCTTTGCTCTGCGTCTTCCTGGTCTGCAGACCAGGAAGACACGGGCGGCGGACCGAGACGCACCGAGGTCCCACCGCCTGGGTCCTCCGCGGCTTTGCTCTGCGTCTTCCTGGTCTGCAGACCAGGAAGACACGGGCGGCGGACCGAGACGCACCGAGGTCCCACCGCCTGGGTCCTCCGCGGCTTTGCTCTGCGTCTTCCTGGTCTGCAGACCAGGGAGACGCAGAGAAAGCCCCAGAGTACATGGGCGGCAGGACCACGAGGTCCCGCAGTCCGTGTACTCTGGGGCAGCCCCGTTCGTATCTGCGGATCCGACGTAAGTCGGATCCGCGTAAGTCGGGGACTGCCTGTATTGGGCAGGGGAATGAATTTCTCTTTGGCTTAGGTAGAAAGGAACGTTTTGGAAGAGGTAGTTTTCTTCTTTTGCTCTCCCATTTCAGGACTTTAGCTTACTTCCTTAGCCTCTGTGATTTGAGGGCTAGGCATGTTCAACAAGAAGCCAGTCCTGCTGAGGTAAGAGATCTCTGGGGACTGGGCTGAGAGTCATGGGGGAAGAGAATGGAACGTGACCCTTTATGCAAAGTTGGGAGTCCTGTTTGGGGCATATGGAGGTGCTGGGTTTTGGTCTCTACTCTCTATATATGTGAAGTTATGGCTGTTTAAAGTGCGTTGTTTGAAACTTTTTCTCTAGGGTCAACCAGCCAACCAGACTGTATACTTGAATTACTGGTGACCTATAGCAGAGCAGAAGCTAAAACCCAATTCCTCCATATACCCCAAACAGGCTTCCCAGTGCAGTTGTGCTACTGTAGCACTTAGGCTACATCTAGACTGCAGGCTTCTTTCGGAAGAAGCTTTTTTTGGAAGAGATCTTCTGAAAAAACGTCTTCTGAAAGAGAGCGTCCACACTGCAAAAGTGCATCGAAAAAGTGATCTTCTTTTTCGAAAGAGAGCGTCCAGACTGAATGGACACTATCTCGCATGTAAGCTGTGATTGCTATGGACAGAATGGCTACCAGGGCACCTGTGCTTTTTCCTCTTCCCTCTTCTTCCGAAAAAACTCCCTCTTCCCCATCCACACACGCCTTTTTGCAAAAGAGCTCTAGATAGATTGCAATCCAGCCATCCTTAACTGTCTCTTTGTTAAATTAACAGATTGAGTTTTTTGGCTCTATCAATATAAGGCATGTTTTCTGACCCTTTAATCATGCTCGCAGCTCTTCTTGGCTTTATCAAAATCCTCTTCCTCAATTTATCAAAAATCCTTTTGGAACCTTGGACCCCAGCACAGAACACTGTACTCTGATAGTGGTAGCAGCATTCCAAATATAGAGGTAATATAATCTCCATGCTCAATATTTCTCTGTTTATACATCCAAGCTGCATATTACATATTCCAGGTGCCCTAGGCCCTAGCTGACATACTTAAGTACTGGTCTCACTTCCAACCACCAAACTCCCCAGCCCCTAAAAGAATAGACAGTTTTCACACTTCGGCTTGATCAGAGAAACCTTGAATAAATTCCCCTCTTCTGCTGAAGCAAAGGCTCTTGCCGCCACAGCCCGAGCCCAGGGATAATATTACAAATGCTTTCTTGCATGAGAGGTGACCAGAAAGGTTGGGCTTGCTTAAGCTTTTGCTTTTGTAGTTTGTTGTGAAGGGCGAGGTACACATTAGTGTCAGGTTTCACAGTGAGCCTTCTCCACTCAGTTCATTCCATGCCAATCATGTATCTTTCTCCACAATAAGTAGCAGCACTTCAGCTCCTGCATCAGAACTTTCCAAGCTATCCCAATCTCTCCTTGCCTCAAAATACAGGAGGAAAGAAATAAACACGTTGTACTTGGTGATTGCAAAATTACTCCAATTGTTAATCGATGATGAAGACCAGTGTACAAATTGCTCTGGATTTTCTAGAGGCAGCATTTTTTTGAAATAATGGAAATTGTTCTTGTGAACGAAGCTGTCTCTGTGGGCAATCTGTGGTGACAGAAAGGATCTCTTAGGGCACATCTAAACCGCATGACTGAACTTGAAATAAGTTATGCAACTTGAGGTACACTAATTGTGTAGCTTAAGTCGTAATAGCTTCCCTTGCTCCTTGTACAAAGAGGGTTACAGGAGTTGAAGGAACAAGCCCATTATTTTTAATTTATTTCAAAAGAACGGGCTTGCTGTATAGACACGCATTATGTTATTTCAGAACAACTGATGTTATTTCGAAATAACTCTGCGGTGTAGGTATAGCCTTTTTAACTTGGCCCTGTCCCATAGAGGGCTTAGAATATCAGGCCCCAAACCCTCAATTATTCAGGAGAGTTGGCCAGTTGCTCTTGTTGATCTGGGCTGGTTAAGTGAACTCCTGTGTTCTGAGGCAACTGAAGCTTTATCAGAGTCATCAGTATCATTTGAAGGACAGTGGATTGCAATTAACCAATCTGGCACTAATGAATCCATGCATCGCCAAAGCCAAATCTGAATCTGTCAGGAAGAGTCCCAGTTTTCTTGCCAGCTGCAGATGGAACATGGTGTTGTTAGCATTGCTAGTTTTTGGTATTCAGTAAAAGTGAAGGGTCCTGAGAAAGTGAGGCTGCAGACTGACCTGATAGTTAGAAACCAGACACCTGGCTGGAGGAATATATTCTGTTCTGTTCATGATATGTTTTAAAAATGATTCCCTCCGTCCTCCTAAAATTGTCCCCCCGCTCTGCTGTTTTGCCAAAGTTTAGGTCAGAGGTGGGGAACCTAAGGCCAGAGGGCTGGATCTGGCCCCCGGCTTGCCTGGATCCAGCCTCTGAGGCTCACGGCTCCCCACCCCAACTTTGGGGAGCCTGCACTCACAGTGCAGTCCCTCCACCATCTCCCCATAGGGCTGGAGCACACAAAATCTACTAGCTTGGGCCCCACTAGGCTGTGGTGTGCAAAGCCAATGTGGGGAGTGTCTTTCTCCTTCTCAGTTGGGAGCCATGTCCGTGAGGGGTTGTTTTTGTTGGGATTTTTTTTGGCTTCTTACTTGTGTGCAACCCCCCAGCTGATTTTTTGAGGCTCACTGGCCCCTGACTCAAAAAAGGTTTCCCCCTAGACTTAGGTGCTGATGTCTCCCAGGCACTGAGAACTGGAGAGGCTGGTTGCATATCAGGTGAAAGAGAGATGGAGCTGCGTGTCATGAGCATTCTGTTTATATCTGAGCCCATGTTGCCTCACAGTCTTGGCCTATAACGTCAAATGCTTAAAGGGGTAGGGGAGAGCAATAAGACCTGTAGAACTGCACAGGTGAGAGGTGGAGTTCCCTAGCGTGGCTCTTTGGGATCACAATGATTTCAGTGCTTTCCTGTTCAGACCTGCTCTATCTATATAGTATGTGCACTTGCTTTTTGTATGGGATATTACGGACACATGGTTGCCATAGCCCCAAACCCTGTGTCACATGCACTAGTATAAAGTATGGGTGATGTCTAGCCCTTTCCATTATCAAAGTGCCAAAGTTCTATGCCTAATGTCCGTGTACTTTATTTAAAGTGGATGTTTTCTGGGACCAGGACTGTTTGCCTTGTACAACACCGAGCACAGTGACAGTGTGTAACAAATGGCAAAAGAAATAATATTCCAAATAGTAAGGAAACACTGAGCTGTGGAAAGAACCAAACCAGTCTCCTGACAATGTGTTATACAGATTTCATGCAGCAGTTGGATGGCTCATAATGGAGG